AGGTCATGGTAACGGAGGGAAAAGTAACGGATGGAAAATTGTGCAAGCAAGTAGAAGGTGCATGATTTTGCATAATTTGTCAGCTTTTTTTCTTCTGAATACTTTAATATTACTTCAAAATGAAAGGTAACTATTTCTATAAAATATGTCAGTCCTTCCAAGCAAATTTTTATCATTTTAAATAAATTTTTTTGAAAAATCATGTACCTTCTTCAACAGTTCAAAGATCGAATAACACAAGATATGATGAATTACATCAATTTATTTACATGATTTCCAGGTCTTTGAAATTTGGGAAATAATTTTTGTTCCATGTTTCATACATGGTCTGTTTAAAACGTATGTAACTTTAAAACCAAAAATGGTCCAGAAAAAAGGTCAACAGTTTCATAAACTAGAGTACATATGTATCTGTTGAATACAGTTTTATATCAGATGCATTAACTTGAATTTTTGGCCTTGCTGAATACTTCTGCTTGACCGGGCCCCATTGACCAATTAACTGACTAAATGAAGTGTGATATATCACTAAAATAAGTATAGACGATAAACACTAATATTGCAACCAAACCACAAAGCAGAATTATCACAGAAAAAGTATTCTAAATCTACAATATTGTTAAAAAACATGAGCTGCAAAAATAAATAGCAGAGGTGGGACTTGGGACTTGGACTCGGGTCAGACTTGAGTCACTATTTTTAGGACTTGAGACTTGACTTGGTAAAATGGACTAAGACTTGGAACTCGATTTGGACTTGATGGTCAGTGACTTGGGACTTGACTTGGACTTGAGGCCTGTGACTTGAGAAGACTTGAGAAGCACTTTAAAATCTGAATTCTTTCTATTCTGACCGTAATAATTCACACTAAGGTCTTGTCAAGACATTTAAAAAGGAAAACTTTACATTTCTACAACTCTCATATACTCTATAAATACTCATATATAAATATACTATGATTTTTTAAGTACATTTTAAATAAAAAATCATATTAATTGCAAAAATCTAAGCTGTATTTGGTATTTTGGTTTAAAGACTTGAAATGACTTGAAGCTCAAAGAAAATGACTTGGTCTTGACTTGGACTTATGGGCCAGTGACACGAGACTTGACAAAGACTTGAGACTTACTTGAGACTTGCAAAACAATGACTTAGTCCCACCTCTGATAAATAGTAGAATGAAACACTAAAAGAAGTAGTGTGTAACTCTGATAGAGGTGGTGCTGCCAACTGCTTGTCTCCATGGTGATGTTATTATTGCTTTGCCTAGGATATTCCACAGTATGGCTTTAAACAAATATATTTTATTTCTCAAAATTACTACAAAAACTTGCACTTTTAATTAATATGAGCGAGCCCACTTCTCCCCAGATCTGACCTATAATTTGGCCTGCTGATTGATTGATTGATTGATAGCATTTATATAGCGCCTTTCAAGACACCCAAAGCGCTTTACAGTTCATTATTCAGTCACTCCACACTCAGTGTGTGTCTGATGTAGTCTGCTGGTTTCCATGAAGATAGTAGTCCAGCAGATGGCGGACCAAAATAGTTATGCAATGCACATTTACTGTAAGTAATTTGTTTGTGTCTATAATTAGTCATAGAAGTTCATAATTCAAGCTTCAACAGCTCAAATATTATCACACGCAAAAAAAAAGTCCCCATAATAATTATTGACCATGGAAATTATTGTTCCATCTGTCATGTATTGAACGATAAGGTGATACACTAATTATCGTGACTGGCCTAACTTATAAACAACATCCTTATTACTAGCCTGTTATATGGGAGTGGTTGAACGGTTTTGGCACAGTGACCTCTGGGCCCGTAACAATGATATCACTGGGTAATTCACTGGACGAGAGCCTTCTTCTAAACAGTCGGCTTTAATTCAGGGCTCTGGTGTCAACGAGGCACAAAGCTGTGATGAGAAACTCTATCAGGGACAGGGTTCATCACAAGAATGGAGCACACACTTTCCACAGAGGTCAATGGGCACATGTGAAAGGTTTGCCCACATAAATGACAACACTGTTCATCTGAAGCCAGGGCAATTTTAGTTAGGCCCATTGCAAAGTCCTGCATATGTAGCACTTGTGGTTGGATAAACGGCTTCAGAGGGCGTATATTTTCTATTTACCATATGCAATGGAATACAAGAGACACAACTATGACCACAGCAGCGCACACTTCACAATTAGGACCTGCGAGTCTTACTTATTTGCTTTTTGTGCACAATAATATAAAAAATTAAATATATCTACAAAATAATGAAAAAAAAAAATTGCCTAACCTATTACAATTATATTACAGCACGATTAACTGTTCCTGCTGGTCCCCCACATACAGTACTAAAAGATGATACCAGTATATTGTGTTGCAGTATATACTATAAATACTATAGTAACATATATAAATTAGCTGGAGATTGGAATATCTCCATAGAAAAAACAAAACAAAATATTCTATCATTTGATTAAATGTCATCAAAATGTCATTAAAAGCCTTGAATAGGGTTAGCAGTGTATTTTAATGTATAAAATGCTGCTCCCCTTTAAAGCAATCTGTAGATTAGAGATCAAGTGACATGCTTTTTTTCATGGCTGATGTCGATACTGATTGTTTAAAATCCAGAGCAACTGATAGTCACTATCTGCCAATATTTTAGGGTCACTATGTAGGATTGATTTAGATTATTTTCACCAAATGCTGTCGGTTTAATTTACAACATACTCACCTACAGCCCCCTTTTACCACAAGCCTTCAAGATGGCTAAGTTGTTACATTTTAAGCAGTTATATATTTGGATTAAAGTGTTCAAATAAAGCTTTGTGTATACTCTTTAGACAACAAGTCAATCAAAAAAAAAATCAGCCTGTACTGGAGATTTAAGACCCACAGCATTGCAAAAAGTCCGATATATTAGCTAACATATATCGGTCTATTTCTACTGTATATATGGTAGTATATCATGTCTCTAATAATCAAACATCAAATATAATTAATAGACAGGAAGAATTGACATGCACAGAGAGACCTACACTCTGAAGCCTCCTTGATCTCAGGCTGCAGCTGCTGATGAGAGCACCTGCTTTCGTCTGCACTTTGCCATGACGCAGATGCTATTGATATAGTGACGAGAAAGTCTCTTAACGACAAGGAAGCTGTAAGGAAACCAAAGACAGGCCAGCCTAGATTCAGCGCATTATTCCTTTAAAAAAAATCAATTGTACTCTTTCAGTAAGGTGCATTACAATAACAGGCTTTTGATTGTGTAAAAGAATCCTTGAAAATAACACCCCAAAAAGTGTCATGTTTAGTAACTGTCCAGAATAGGGGTGGGGGATGTTGACAAAAATAAAAATGTTGATATATGTTTTTGCATAATCTTGATAACAATATCCAAACAGCATTTTAACAGTGGATCAGGAAATGTGCCTGTAAAATGCTTGGTTGAGGTTCAAGTATCGTACAAAATGTGAATGGGCTATAAAGATTAATGACCAGTGCATTTCATTCTTTCCATACTTAATCAGCCTTTTTTTTTATGTCATTCTTAATTATTTCAATAAAAGGCAATAAAGTCCATATTATAATTTCTAACCACCGAGTGTGGAGTGAGTTAATAAAGCACCAAACTGTAAATCGACTGTGAGCGTCTGGAAACTAATGCATTATTACTATCATTATTAGTGACTTTATATCATGGAGTCAGTCCTCGGCGGCAGTAAAACTACCTTTAGGGACGTGGACAAACATCAGCACCAGGGTTCAGTCAGGTTCTTATATTTTTATTGGTTGTATTAGAAGACTGTCTGTCACATTCACACCCAAGTCCACCTGCAGTAAAGGTTGAGTGGGACAGATTGTAACACAGAGCAGAGTGTTCCCAATAAATCATGTCTGCTGAGTGTACTAAATCACCAAAATAACATTTATTAAATGTCATACATCTCAACACATGGTGTAGCCGATCCTACCAGTACTTGGAAGCTTACGTAACCAAAACACTGGCCCCTAGACTGTGTAGAGCAGCCAAACTATCCTTTACCTGTATGAATGACTAAAATATAATATACACTAATAATAGAATAATAATAATGATAGTACAGTTGGCTTACCTTGAGTAGAAGAGGGAATGTACTTTTTCTATCCTTAAGTAGTCTCTCAAGTTTAGTCTTGGGGGGAAATCTGTTTAAAGAAAAGCACCTTTAATGGTATTATTTTATTTCACTGTGTGATCTATAGTGACACCTTCTGGAAATAATTGTAACTGAAAAAGTACTGCACGTATAACAAAGTGCAGTAATAGGAGAGCGTATAGAAGTTGGAGGTTGTAGCCTACACATTAAAGACAATACCAGACAGGCATTGAATGACATTTTAATTAGCCATATATTCTACAAGAAATGTCAGCTGAGTTAAACCTGAGTTAAACAGCAGCACTAACCTTCTTTCTGAAGCTTTGTTTGGCGCGCTCATGGTGACAAATGAACAAGATGGCAGTTATAAAGCGGCCAGGCGCGCCATACCAAACAGATCTACAGGTGAACAGGCTTGAGTCCGCGCGGTGTCCGCTCACGGTTTATCTGTTGCTGCACCGTGACCGTCGGCTTATCCATGACACAATAGCTGTTACAGCCATCACTGCAAGTTCTCTCCAACAAGCTTTCTGACGCAGCTTTTAGGTAGGTGCCACAATAGGCACGTGCACGGGCGCGCGTCAGTGTGGGCCTATGAGAGATGGAGAAAGAGAGGCCCGTGACTGTACAAAGACGCGCACCCGCGGGGCTATACAGTTCCACACACTGCCCCGAGCTCAACAGCTCAACAGCCCGCTCACATCGGTCTGCTTTACAGGTGAGTTTTAGCTGGACATGGAGTCAATGAAGTTCTAAATGAAGAAAACAAAACAATCTTCCAATTCATCAATGATTCTCCAATAATGAACTATAACTTAAGACTTTTTCAAACTTTTATTTTGAATATGTGAGGAATTTCAAAGCAGACATAAAATAGTTTAGTTTATTTGTGATTATTAGCACCAGAAAAGCAGCAGTCAGTACAATGAGTTTACCCAGATCTGTTCTAGCCGCTTTTAGCTTATGAGTCTTCGTATAATTGACCAGCTTATTCTAACATTATCACAGAAGCAAAAATATGTATGAGCACCATTTGAACCAGAAAAAAAGTACAGGAGAGGTTATATAAGCCAACCAAGCCTTTCAGAGCATTTCATGAGAAACCATTTGTGAATTTAAAAGAGTGTAGAGTGTAGATTACATTAAATTATTATCCCCAACAAGAAAATAGTCTTTGGTTTATGGATGTGAATGTTTGATGAGGAGGTAGCAGCTGTACTTGTCGGCACAGTTATTTGCAGACCATGGCGTTAATATTGGTGTCCAGACTGAAGAGGTCACATAGAACATTGTATTGAATTCACTTCATCCCAGGTGCTTGTGGTGATGTTTCTCGTAGCCTACTGCATTGTTGTTATTGCTTCCTGAAAAAAAAAAAAAAAGATTAGCTCCATTGTGCAGAATTTCTCAATGATAATTAGGGATGCATCGATCCAGGTTTTTCTGTTCCAATACCGATACTTTGGCTTTAAGTATCTGACAATACCGATATCAACTGATGCTATTGCAGAGACTGACAACAAATATTTTATTTCCTATAAACACAAACGACGTACAGTAAGAAAAAAAAAAAAAATCCAATGTGTTATGACTGTTATTTAGTTATTTATCATTTAAAGTAACTACAAAACAGCTTTGAAAAAATACAGGGTTAATATCATGAGACGTTTTGAGCCTGTTTTGCCCAGTAAATAGCTTTATTATACTATTAGTTTATAGACCAAAATGTGATATCGACTGAACTGATATCTTGGAAGCGATATCTGATCCACGAAAATGTTCAATATCAGCGAAGATATTCGATACCAGTATCAGTGCATCCCTGTTAATAATTACAATATATTAAAATGTCTTGCCTAAGTAATCCTTGTAGTCCTTGTAGTATTTGTGCCTCAGACCACGTCCATCTGCAATCACATAAAACAGTTTACCAAAATTAAAAACAATCAGCAGTTTCATTTGGGGCTTTTGGTCCGTTATTAGAGGTGTTTAATTTATAATACAAGCTATCAGCAGTGCTAATTATATGGTTTCATTTCATAGGGAGGAACTTGGCGCCATATTGAGTCCACTGAGCCAGGAGATGCCCGGCCAGGCTTCACACAGCTGCTCTGGACTTGGCTCTACCCCCCATATCTGTCAATAGTGCATATAATAAGACACGTTACTGAGATGCCTTTAATTGGATCAAATAAACGCTAGCTCATTTGCAACAATAAATAGGAGATGATCTGTGGCCCTGTTTCAAGCCAATGACTGTATAAATGACTGCCTTACTGCCTCACCAGAGTTGCTGCGCTGCTTGATGCACTGTCCGCGGTTGGGGATGCCGGCCGCGGGGTTTCCTGGGTTAATGATGTGACATTCGTAGCCTGTGGGACAGTGGAGGGGCTCGTCTCCATCCTCTGTTGTACTGCACGCCTCGGCTACAGAAGGTACAACACACAAACACAAGAACTGATTATCTGAGGGTATTTATCTGCATTGGTATGAAGGCCTGTTAGGTGACAGTAGTTCAGTCGGTAGAGCGTTTGTCCACTGATCCGAAAGTTGGCGGTTCAAATCTTGCTGTCAACATAAACATAATTGGTTAAGCATTGGTGATGCGATTCCAGCTCCCACAGATGAATGCTGTTGTTGTGTCCTTGGGCGATTAACCCACCTCGCCCCCAGTGTCTGCATACACTGGTGTATGAAGGAGTGTGTGAATGGTTGAGTGATTCCTTGATATAAAGCATTTTGAGTGCCTTGAAGGTGGAAAAGCACTAAATGGGACCATGGCCAATTATCATATCGACCTGTTTTTCAATAATGTGTGAATGAAACAAAACAAAATTCCAGGTATGAGGAAACAACATTATAACATAGATCAGAAAAAAAGTGTAATATGGGCCCTTTAACTGTTTTGTTCAGCTATTTATTTATTGCAGCCGAAAAAGATATTGTAGATTTACAATAGTTTAAAAAAAAAATATATATATATAATTATGGTTTAAGTTTAGGCTTCTTCAGTTCTGATGCAGACTGGTTGGAATATCATTGCAAGTAACACAACCTTATTTTTTATAGTAAGAAGAATCTGCTATTATTGACTGAACTACCCTGTCATCTTAGTCATACAAGTCAGTAAAATAATTATCATGACATTTATCTAGTTGATTAAAAAATTTGCTACATAATACATTATATGACAAATTATATAAATAGAACTGGTTTTATATCTGTTGGATTTAGATTTTGCCATTAAAAAGAAATACAAAACACTGAAAAATACAAATGACCATGTTTTTATTCATTATGATGATGAGTACATACACTAACCTTGTAGAACCTCTTCTGGACCATCCAGCAGCCAGCCATTACCTCCCAACCACCTGGGCTTCGGCTGCACTAGCCAGTCCAAAACTGTAGTGTGAGAATAACTGACATTATGAACAGGATTTGTTTGTTATTACGGGTTTAGGGAGAAAAACATGTTCTTGCCTGGTGGTGGTTGTACTGACTCCAGACAGGCGTAAATACAGCCATTATAGCAGCAGCGCTTGTGCCTCTCACACTCTGAGTCTGAGCGGCACCCTGGCACCTCACATGCCCGCTCCGGGAGACTCTGAGGGGGAGGCGGGCACCGGTCATTCTTCTGGTGCTGTGTGGACTGGGGATGGCTTGGGTACTCATAATCCTGAAACACACACACGCAATAGCAGCACGTTACCAGGAGAGGTCAGTAAAACATATGGATGAAAACTGCAGAGGGCGACTATAGACTTTGTGAGCTTTCCTGCCTGCAAATGTCGTGACCTGAATTGAGAAGGGTATACACAGTGGGGGCAAACACTTCCCTGGTGAGTCTTAGAGAAGAAACTAGGCCAAAGAACTGTGAGGCAAGCTCTTCACACAAGCCTCAGAAACATCAAAAGTAAGACACACACACTTATTCGGAGGTACACAAAATATACACACCGCAATACACAGTGGATCTAGCTCTCTTTGAAAGGTAATACCAATGTTATGTGTATCACGCGTTCATGTTTATACTTTTTATTGGTTACTTGCTGCTCAACAGAATGTTTGGTTCCGAATTTCAGTTTGGCATAGAATCTCACAGCTGGTCTGGATTTAACGTTATAAAAGCCATATGTTTGAGGTTAGACTTTTTGGACGAGCAGGTCATGCTTATTGTAGCCAAAACCAGGCACAAAATAAGCAGAGTGCACATGTAATTGCACTGAGACGATGTTGTATAAGAAATAATGAGGTTTTAGTCAGGTGAGGAAATTGCTGAAAATTGGTACTCATGTCAAAGAATAGTTACATGGATAGAAAATACAAATTGCCAAAAAAGTATGAAGTGTGGATGAAAAATACTACTCAAAGTACAGTTTACTTTTCTGCAGTCATTTTAATACGATGAACTCAGTAACCCAGTATGATTGGCAATGCATTGAATAACAATCACATGGTTAGAATTATTCTCCAAAAAAAAATCCACTATACAATTACCCCAAAACATCTACTCATTTACAGTAACGCAGTGGTTGAACGTAATGTATAGTGAATGTAGTGCTGTATAAGTACATTTCAAGTAGATGCTTTTTACTTTTACTTCACTACATCTGGGAATAGGTAAATGTACTTTTTACTCCACAAAATTTTTACATTCATTTTTTATTGTTATTTAGAACCTGCTGAAGATCTGCTAAGTAATTTTTTTCATGTGATACTTTTACTTTTACTTGAGTATTTTTTTGGTCTGGTATCTGTATTTTTACTTAAGCAACAAAATTGAGTACTTCATCCACCACTGCAGTAACCTGAGTATTGTTTCCACCCCTGATTTCAGTGACCCGCCACGCCAAGAAAAAACAGAAACTATGTGCGGTAATCTTTTGTCAGTTTTAGTCTTAACATATCAAATATCTCAAATCAGTCAGTCGCCACACAGTGAACCAGGGCTACACAATGTTCACTCTTTGCAGATATTGACTTATGGTTAACATTACTACTTCTTAAGCAAATAAGAGAAAGAATATTTATAGACTGATTTGTTGATAGAGTGATTTGCCAAATCACCACAGCCATGGCAACAAAAATGGAAAAAATAGTTTCAGCTGTTATTTCAAACAACAACAATAGACATTTTTATTACATCCTTATGCGCAGTCAGTCACAAGACCGACAAAACTTTATATTTAAAAGATTAATATTTCTGAACTGATTCTGTCTTAAAGGTGAATTTATTTCCAGTGTGATCCAGCTCCTTGTGACATCCATTGTTCAGAGTCAGTGTTACAACGAGTGGGTTTGATTTAGACCAAATTAGTAATTAGATAATGAGCATGCGGTCTGCACTCAATCATTAAACAGCTCTGTTTATTTGGCAGCCTAACCACACTCTCACACGACTGGAAAAACAAAAGTGCGGGTGTTGTAACTCACTTGAAACAGGGACTAATTCACATGGGCAGTTACAAGTGTGGGGGGTCATTAAAGGGGCGGGAGCCTGGGTTTGGGAACCCAGAATGAACCATATACTTTAATGAAGACTGTTGCCTACTTTAATTGAAAAGAGCGTAATTACCAAGGACTGTAAAATGAAGGGGAGTGTGACGTCACTCATCGTGTGCAGCTCCAGTCAAATTAAGCTTACGTGGTGGCCAGGGGTCATAGGAGAGATTTTGGAGTCGAGTTTCATATTAGGAATAGGAATTTATTTATGGACAAAATAGGACAAAAAAGGATCATGTTAAGCGGGCTAATACGAACATTTTAAGACCAAAATGACGAGGCTCACTGCAGCAGTTACAGAGAGAGAGGTGATATTTTTTTCAGTGTAAAGTAAACTGGACCTAGAATCAATGGAGCTGGAAGCACCCCCATGAACACTTCCTATTTGGAACGTGGCAGCTACTGGGTTAGCTATGTTCATTGTATACAGTCTATGATAATTACTGTGTTCCATGGAGGTGTTATTCCTTTGCCTGGAAAGTACCATAGTTTGGCATTAAAGGGACAGTCCTAAATTTTGGAAATAGGACCTAATTTCCAAGTGTTGGAGACGTGTAGAGACAGTTTTTAAAATAATTCCATCCAGTCCTTGTATTTGCAGAGGTCGCTGGTGCTAGACTAGTGCATGTCAATGGCCATAGTTATCCTGGCCACTAAAAACAGTCTTACCCACTCCACAAAACACCCAAAGCAAATCTGTTATTACACCTGACTGTTGATGTAAATATCTGTGTCAATAGAATAATTTTAGAAGTAAACCCAACCTTGCATTTGAAGGTTTTATGTCTGAGCAGCAGCAGCGAGTTGTACTTCTTGATAGAAAGCTTGGCAGCGGCGGACTGATATCACCTAACACATATCTTACCTGCAAAGTAAAATCCCGCTGCTGCTGAGAAAATAGTTCCTCAACATGCGATGATTCATGTGATGCAAGGTTAGTTTTATTTCAACATTATTCTATTAACACAGACATTTCCATCGATAGTCTGGCGTGATAATAGATTTATTTTGGGTGCTTTGTGGAGTGGGTAAGACTGTTTTTAGTTGCAGGCTAACTATGGCCATTGACATGCACTAGCCTAGCACCAGCGACCTCTGCAAATACAAGGACTGGATGGACTGTTTAAAAAAGTGTCTCCACACGTCTCCAACACTCTGGCTCACTAGGAAATGAGGTCCTGTGTTTAAAATTCCGAACTGTCCCTTTAAAGAAGACCTATTGTGCTTGTGTCCGCTATAATCTATGACACCCATGGATCATTATGTTATAATCTTCGTGACTTCAGTGTTACATAACTGTAGTGCCCAATGTGAGCTGCCATCGCCATGAACGTTATTATAACAACGAGCCATGAAGTTGTCAGCACCTCTGATGGATAGCTGCACATCACACTAGTGAGTTGCTTTTTATAGTCGTCTGGATAGTAAGAACTGATACCGCTGACATCCATTAATAATAACAACAGTGCACACTGACCTTTCTCAATGAAAACACAGACAACCTGCATTGTGATATTGTCCGAACTATTCCATTGAGCCCCTGATTTATAAAGTGATTGGCCAGCACTATACACTTGAATATGGTGCCTGGTGGAGACCTGCCCGGACCTGTGCAGCTTTATCATAAATCTTTTTGATTCTTCAGTGGGATGTGGGAGTGTCAGACAGCACCTGAGGATGAGGGCCAGTGCACACACTTCCTGGGCCGGGCTGGTGTTAGATTTGGCCTAGGGCTTCAAAGCCAAACACACATCAAAGTGAAGCCTTTAAAAGAGGAGCTAATATAAATCTGATGTGCTTGCCCAGTTACTTCAGTCAGATGAATTCTTTTTTAGTACGCTGTTGGACCAATCACAAGGCAGTGTTGTGGTCTGTAACCAAAAAAACATGTAGTGTAATATCCTAAAGTTACAGAGAGTTTTAACATCAGCTTTTTGTTACAAAAACTAAACTTTAATTCAAATACAAATTCCCATCAGATTAGTGCAGGAACATAGCAGTTTGGTTGGGAGTAAATTTCCTTCCAAGGAATTCTTTCCAAGAATTCACTTTATTGGCCATTCTCAGAAATAAACAAATAGGGAATGCTGTTAGTTCTATGTCTAAGACTTTCGGTTTGTTGATATGTGCCTGTAAAAAGAAATAATCCTGGTCACGTAATCCAAATAATCTTGTACATAATCTTGTACACACTAAAACACAGCCTTAAATTTTATTACTTTAAATTTATATTGTTTGACGCAGTACAGTGAAGTTCCAATAATCCTCTAATCATTAAAAATAATATCATAATTTACAAGACCAAGATGTCAACTGCCAACATTACACTTTCTTGCCCTCTATTTTTATTTTTTATTTTTTTGGTCAAAAACAAAATTTTCTGTAAAAACAAAAAAATGGCGCTGCCATCATGTCACTGGTTCAATTCAGCAGTGGATTAGACTCAAAGATGTATCTGTGGGATCTTTGTGAACCTTCAAATATACTTACTGTTCAAGGTAAGGCTTTAAACCATTCCTCAACTCAAATTACTTTCTCTGTGGTTTGTGTCAGGTGCCAACTGCTCTACATGATTTTTTCTCATGCCTTTGCAGACTCTTTTGATGTTGCTGCTTCTTCCATCCAGAGATAATGGTGTTGCACAGACTGCATTCCTTCATTCACTCAAACTTTTTGGTACAGAGTCCAAAAGCTGCTGCGCACAAGGTTCTGTCTCTTCGGTCCATCCAGGTCTGCTATTAACAGGAAATGAACATTGACAAACCAAAAGCCAACCAGATGTGTGCAACTAGCTACTTCATGGCTCTGCTAGCTTTGAGATAAAGCAGTGTTAGCTGTTTACATCTAATTTAACAAATCCTTGACCTGCAGGCATTAAATAAGTGAGTAACGTAAATGAAAACGAAGGCATCTGTCTAGGATCTCTGCGCAATTGTGATTGGAGTGAAGCGCCTCAAGTCAGACAGCCAGACTTCAGTCTCTTGTGGCTTCTTTGCTGAAATTCCCCATGAACCGCGGGGCAGGAACACTTAAAAGAGCTGAACTGCAGGAGGAGATCACTTTCACATCATGCCACTGCTTGCCAATGAGAAATGTGATATAGAAAGACAACAAGAGTGCATCAAAGGAAATGGCCAGGCAGACAACAAGAGGCTTAAATGCGCAAACTGTCACTCAACAAGAATAGTAGATGTTAAAGCTAACGCAGTCCTTTGTGCTTACGCCCTCTGCACTTGAACTTCTGTCTGGACATTAGGAGATCTGATGTGATACAAAACCACTAACCATTCAGTAATTATCTATTCACCCTTTAGTAGTTCAAGTCTGCGTCATTAGCAGATAAAAATCACAAACTGCAGTGGCCCTCTGGGGTGGCTGTTGCTAATGCTTTTCTCCATGAAGATGTTACAGCTTTGCCTAGAATGGTCTGAAGTATCACAGTAATAAAGAAGTATTCTTCCTCTGAGCCGGCCTGTGGCGTCACCTGCCTGTCTGCAGGGAGTTAGAAAAGTACATCTATTAAACAAAATCAACCTTTCAGAGCTTTTAACCATGTTACAGTTCAGTTGATTCCCCCGTTTTACTTTACCATTTACTCACCCAAAGTTTTATTTGGAGTGATTTGTGCATGTTTGATTAATCATTAATCTCTTATTTTCAAGATGCCATTTTGCTGATCAAACACCCTGCACTTACTTTAGTTTCCAATTTTGTTTTCTTAATCTGTGATACACATTTGATTTGGCAGCGTCGCTTAGGTAAAAGTCCAGTAATGCCTTCTCCTTGCAAATATATGTCGCATGGTAACCCTATACTTTTATGTTGGCAATCTTTACTCTTCATCTTTTATCTGTTTCCTCTTAAATTAAATGTCCATGGTCAATTACTGACTGAATCAACTACTGAATCAAACCATTGGCCTGATGGTCTCTAGTAGTACAGATAAGCATGGCAGGTCAGTCTCCCTGATGCACTGATACAGCTTTTTCACTTCTGGTATTGATGTTGATACTTTGACATTAAGTATATACGGATACTTGATATTAACCGATACTAGTGTAGGGAAAATGGCACTTATTTCCTTAAAACACAGGAGCATAAGTTAACATAAGTTGACTTATAACACAGGAGATCTAGTTGTGCTATGTAACAGTTATTTATCCTTCAAGTAACTGCTGTAACAACATTGTATGAACAAAGTTTAAGGCCAAAATCAGCCTGTTAATAGTCTCATTACATCCAGCTAAAGGCTCGGTCACAATAAAAGCTTAACTTATATCATGGAACTGATACCTGATCCAGCTAAATATTTCATTTTCATTTATCTGTGCTGATATTCTACTTTCTGCTAAAGATCTTTTAAGATAGCATCTTCTCAAACATGTTCTGAATTTTGGAAGAACTATTGACTCTTCCATTTGTTTAGCATTTAATATTTCAGCCTCATACCATATGGCCTTATCTTGACAGTAATTATAGTTCATCCAACCAGATGTATTGTGGGCCTCTCCCAGCCAAATAAATTGTTTAAAAAATATATATAATTATTCTGGTGAAATCCTGTATACATTACAAAAAAACAGGACCACAGATGAAAGCTTCTAGTGCTGGTGGCCTTGATACTGTAAGCAATTTACTTTTCAAGTCTCATTTTCCATTGTACAGTACATTCATGAGGTCCCCAGTGACTATAATTTGTCTTTCTGCACTAGCTGGCTGTACAGGATAGAGTGTGTATGAATGAGGAGGCGGAAGGATCCAAACTGAAAGATTAAAAGATGCAGAGATGAAACAGTTTAAGAGGAAAGGAGACAAATGTTCTGTGTGCAGCAGTCTCAGCATGTTCCAATTATACAAGCTTTGAAGAATGCTACAGTGCTTGAGTGCCTGGGCCTGGGACAAGAAACTACACCACAGAAATTCATGGGAAAACTTTGAGGAAAGGGGTGCATTTAGACCTGTCACAATAACACATTTTGAAGTGTGATATATTGCTGAAGTAAATATACACAGTAAATGATAATATTGAAACTAATCTATGCCACTGCCACAAAAACCCAGGATTAGATTTAAACCACAAAAACTATTCCCAGTCTGCAAAATCATGAGCTGCAGTAAATAAATAACAGTACGAAACTCTTAATACTTTGTTTGCATCTGTAAGAAGTCATAGAAGCTATTAATTTAACCTTTTACGCTCAAATTTGCCAAAAAATAACCATAAATTTCCCACTAGTGGAAAGAAACTACACAGACGAATACTGACCCCAAAAAATGTTATTCCAGCATTCAGTTATTCAACAATAAGTTGATATATATTTATTGTGACAGGCCTAAGGGTGGTCAGCCTGATTCATCAGCTGGTTTCACTTCATAGAAACCGTCTGACCTCGCAGTATTAGAATTTGTTCGCTTGACAGTAGGCAGGTATGTTTTTTATTTAACCAGTCGCCGCTATTTGGTCATAACGTATGTAATGTGCCAGAACGCTCAGTGGTGTCCAAGTAATTGCCGGCACAACAGCAAACAAAGCAGAGAGTGAACATGTCTGTCAACGATCATTGTTGTTTCTGCGAGATGAACTTGCAAATTAAAGGTGCAATAAAAAATGTGAATGTCGTATTTGACAAAGGAAATCGAAAAGAGGATAGCGTATGCAGTCTGCTACCGCAACTAGGGTTGGTTCAGCTCTTCCCTGATTGACCAGAGTGTGATCTACAACTTCCAGGGTTCTTACAAAATGTCTAGTGTATTCTGATTCCTGACCTAGTCACTGGAGAGAAATAAAATTGAGAGGAGGCACTAGGTGGCGTCAGACTGACTAAGAGGTGGTTTGCACGGCTTAACATTTCTACTGGAGGATCCACCGCCTAATGTATCCATGGAAATGTTATTGCTTTGTCTAGAATGTTGCACAGTATAAATTAAACTTATCCTATCATTAAACCTATCATAAGGAAGACAAACAGGCTACAGCACTACGTTATATTACAAGTCAGATCTGTGGAGTTGCCCCTTTTTATGGTAGGAATGATTGTGTTTTTGAGCAATAGAAACAATTACAATGAATAAATGCTATATGGAAATGTTGAAAGTCATACCATGGAATATTACAGGCAAAGCAATAACATCTCCATGGAGACAAGCAAGTGGCGGACCCACCACCAGAAAAGTTGTGCAGTGGACCTTTAAGAAGGACTTCACTTCACTGAGTCAATTGCTTTTAGACTTGCTCAATCAACCAATCTAAGCAGAATTAGCAAGCAGGGCCTCAAAGTTCAAACTCTAACCCATATTTCTCACCCAAATCTCGCTGCGCATGCCAATTAATCATGAAATCAGTGGCTCATGCAAACCAGCTGCACTCTATAACTTCACATGTCTGGAATGGAAAAGTTCACCTGTCAATGTACATTACTCACGCTTCATAAGAAAAGTGTTATCTGTGCTGGGCTGAATGCATGAGTTTAGCAGCAGAATATGCATTGTTTTCTGGCATTCTTCCATGTAGGCCTGTCATGATAACCAGTTTTATATTTTAAAGTGTGATTTATTGTTGAAGTGAAACCATAAAGCTGAATTATGCCTTAAAAAAAAAAGTATTCTAAATGTACAAAAAAAAGAGCTGCAGTAAATACATAACAGAAAAAACCTTCTACATATGAAGAGGTCCTACGGAAGACCAAAATCCAATAAAAATGTACTTAAAAAGTGGTAACTTTTTAGAAAAGTTAGCACTCTTGTCATAGCAATTTACAATTTTATTCAAAATATTATACATTTCTAATGGTCAGCCGTCCTTAAAATTGTAACTTAAACTACGGCTGGATATCATTAAGATGTTGCCGATACGATACATACCTCGATACATAGGCCACGATACGATACTTATTTCGATACAGTGCACTTTCGATTCGATACAATTTATTTCAAATCAATTTGATTTGGTTCAATAAAAAATAATGGCTAAATTATGGCTGTGATACTAAAAGTCTTTGTTGAACCATGTCTTGTGCAAAGTGAATATGAAACACAAACATTTTAATCATCAAAACTGTGACTATGTCAAATGTTTTGTAAAAACGAGTTTTTTTCCACTAAACAAGCAACAAAACTGTAGCGTCGTAACAAAATAATTCCGTAAAATATACCAAAAAATATTCTTGGTGATATATTGATACAGCAGTCCCTGATATCGATACTGTATCATTACATTAAATGATACAGTAGGCAATGCAACTAAATATACAGGCTTTAAAAGATGCACTGCCTAACATTTCTACTGGAGGGTCTGTCACCTGCTTGTCTCCATGGGAATGTACCACAGTAAAGATTAAACCTAGTAGGTTACAGCACTACATTACTATTCAGATCTGTGGAGATTCGTCCCTACTCACAGAAGGAATGGTTGTATTTTTGAGCAATAGAAATATCCGTAATGAATAAATGCTAGATGGATATATTTAATGTCATACCATGGAGCGTTCCAGGCATATCAATAACATCTTCATGGGCCATCCACCAGAAAAGTTGTGCAGTGCACCTTTAATCTCTCTTAAATGTGATACTTTCATTTGTTTCTAATTATATAGACCTACGTTGAAGATTCTTGAGCATGTGTGCAGATTACAAAACCTTCTGTAACAGGATAATCAGAATTTGTCCACAGCTTGTTTCAGACCCATATTAACATTTTGTCAGATTTACACTGCAGTCTCAAGTTACTTCAGCTGTCTCTCACTTCAGCCACAAAAGTTCTCCCACTGTGCGAACATCCACACTCCCGCCTGCTCCCAGCCTCTCCAACAGAAACCCCATTGTACTGTTAATGCATAAGGGATTACACTGGAGTCTCACCTTATGGTTCAGTCCTCTTTTCCTGATCCTGCGACCATCACTTCCCGTGGATAGCATTAACAGGGACACCAGCAGCACCAGACAGTGTGCCATGGTGAGTCCCGTGTCCAAAGTCCTATCTCCTCTCTTCTTCTTTTCTTTGCTTTCCGAGGTAAGTTAGTCCAATAAAGTGCTTAAAAAACTCCACTTCTTCCACTGCCTGCTCTCATGTGCTTGTGTGGAGCAGAGAAGATTACACAAGCCTTGCCTCTCTCCCCCTCTCTCTCTCTCTCTCCCTCCAAACAGACCTCTGTGGGTCGGGGGGTGCACACAGGGCAAAGAGTGACAGTGAGTGCAGAGAGAATGTAATGAATGAAAGAGTTAGAAAGGAAAGAGGAGGAAGTGGAGCCGCGGAAACATCAGGAGCAGAGAAAAAACTGGAAGAGTCTACTGGCACACACAAGATCACATGGGAAAAGGGGGAGTTAGAGCGAGAGAGAGACAGAGTGAGACCTCCCCTTTGAACAAACTTCACCTCACATCTGTTGTAAAAGTAACCATTATATTTTACTTGGTCATGTGCCTAATGGACTGAGCAATGGTTCATAGTTCTGAATTAGATCCAAAAATGTGTCACTACCATTCACCAGACCAGAGACTTCTACCAAGGCACTGACCTTGTCTTGCAATGGCTCCCAGATTTATGTTAGTTCAAGTTTAACTACACCACTAGCCCTTTTGGCAGAGACAAATGCCTCACTATTATTTTTATTGTTCTAATATATTGTTGCTTGTACATCTCTGTAAAGGTTCCATATTAAACAAAACGGATTCTTGCAAGCTTTAAACCATGTTATAATGCTGTTTCCTCATCAAAAACATACCTGGAGTTGTGTTCTGTTTCATACATGTTTGAGTAACCCTTTATTATTAGCCTCTGTACCTCTCAAAATATTCTCTTCCACCTTGTGATGTCATCTAGTAGTAGTTTTCAAGTCAACAGTTAACTACACCTTTAGTCCAGGAGAGATTGCCAAATTGCAAATTATCCAAATGATTCTAGAGAAAGTGAAGTTTAAAAAGTGGAGCACTTATTTACCACATGACATGAGTATTTTCTGTTTGGGAGATGAATTCAGCCTAAATATGCAGGGTTTGTGTGTTAAACATGTGTGATTGAAACAAAACACAGCACCGGGTATGTTAATGATGAGAAAACATTATAACATAGATCGGAAAGTAGTGTAATATGCGCACTTTATGGACTTAAAAAAAAACAAAAAAAACAAACTCATAAGATAATATAGTCTTTTATTGTTTCCTGAGGGAGAAATTTGTCTTGTGACAGGGGATCATATGCTTTATCAAAAACAAGACAACAAAACACAAAGCACCACACAAACATTTACCACAGAACAGAAATAGATACGAGACCACGTATGACCATGAGTGATGCACCAACAGGACCTTTAAGTCATTAAGGCCTAACAGATATTAATTGGCATGTAGCTGCTTAACTCTCACAATGCCTCAAAATTCTTAATATTACATTTTTTTTTCCAAAAGTCTATGGGAAAAATGAATGAAAATTTTACTTAAGAATCAAAGCGAGGTCACTGTTGAGCTTCATAGGGTTTATGGTCTGACTGTCTGTGTTGAAAGTTTCTCCTTGTCTGGGGGAACTGCGTGAAATGAAACATCAAACAATAGTTAATCCAAGAGCCAAATACGCCTTGAAACATAAAACTGTGGCTACCAGCCTCTCGGTCTTTTACTTGTTTAAGCCAACTGGATAAAAAAATGTATACAAAACAACCATTGCTTCACCACATTGTACATGTAACCCAACACTGAGAACATTTTGGTGCAAATCTCTTGTCTCTTGAATCTGTTATTACGCTAAAACAAATGACTTAGCTAAGTATGGGTTGTGGGGGACTTGTTATTGAGACCAAAACACAAGCTTTCTCAGCATAAAACAGTGGAATGCATTGTCTGCTGCCGATGAACTTGTGTTTGCCCAGGATGTTTTTAGAAGATGAGTTGTGATTTTGGTGGCACTGACCCATAAAAAGCATGTGGAGTGCCAGGAAGGGGCCTCCCATCTTCACTGCATCACTGATTTCTACTACTCTTTCCGTATATCCAGCCGAGAAATGTAACGAAGTAAAAGTAGGAAAGTGCTGTACTTAACGGTGCGTTGTGTAATTTGTAATTTTTCTGGTGGAAGGTCCGTCAAATGCTTTTTTTCATGGAGATGTTGTTGCTTTTTCTGGAATGTTTCGCAGTATGGCGTTAAACCTTTCTATCTTCACGAAGACCAAACCAGGCTAAGTTACAGGTCAGATCTCGGGAGACGTGACCTCGCTCACAGTCAGAATGCTTTTTTTTGTAGGTATTCTTGATTTATAAAAGCACTTGTAATTGAATAAATGTAAGGTAGAGCTGTTTAATGTCATATTGTGGAACATTCCAGGCAGAGCAGTGACATATCCCTAGAGACAAGCAGGTGATGGACCCCCAACCAAAACGTTACATAGTGCACAATCGAGTACTTCTTCCACTACTGCATATATCCATCTTCCATGTTGGGCTCTCTCACAACAAACTCAGACAAAACCCCCAAAATGATAACTGACCCCCCTCTCCAATCTCCTACTCCAGCGCTGTGTTACCATTTGGACCTCTCTCTCCACTCCAGTCCGTGAAAGAATGCTAAGCCGGCACAAATCTCCGTCATTATTAGTTTTACAGGAGCGGGGCTCAAGTCACAGAGAGGCCCCCAGCTTGGCTTACACAAAGGGCGCAGCGTGCACAAAGAATGGGCCAAAAACGAGCAAGCACAAAAGAGGGCAGATACATGAGAGATAGAGGCAGAGGGTGGACGTGGAGCTGGCCCTATATGAATGGGACACCAAGGAGATTATAGTAGTGTTAGCACAGTGCCGTGTGCATTATGACACGAGCTAAACAAAATAAAACACAAATAATGAGCCCGTATCAAGTCACATTAAGCTGCCTTTTACGAAAACCACTGGTAAATCCATTGATCTTAAAGGTGCACTGTGTAACTTTTCTGGTGGAGAGTCAGTCATCAGCTCCTCTCCAGGTGACACCATAGGGCCACGTTACATGTCAGATCTACAGAGCCACTAGTAAGAATTAGGTCAATAAAACCCTTGTTATTGAGTAAATGCAAAATGGATATGTTTAACACCTTACCAGGACAAAGCAGCAACATCTCCAGATCTCCAGACCCTCCACCAGAAAAGTTACACTGTGCACTTTAAAAGAAGACTTATGCAGTTTTCTAACGGTTATTACTAAAACCACATAATGGAAACAGCTCCATTGACCTTCTGTTCAAAACTGCAGAACTGAGAGGCTCCATCTCTTCACTGGCATTTCATCATAACAAGCAGTAGTTTGTTAGCCTGACTCTCACTTTCACTTTGTGGAAACCGTCTGACCTCAAAGCATTAGAATTTGTTCGCTAGCAGGTGGGTGCTATTTTTAATTTAACCAATCGCTGCTATTTGATCGTGACGTATGTAATGCGCTGCTAAAGGGGCTAACTGATATATTAAGCTTTTCCCAAATCCTGAAGGAAGAAGGGCAATAACGTCTTTCCCCTTGATAAAATTCACCAAACATTCTCTTTGTTCCAGCTTTAAATCCTCAATCTCGGGAGTCGTTGCCAACACAGAATGTATGGCTCTTCGCTGACTGACTGGTGCCCAGACTCGCACGTCCGGGGTTCTTGGAAACCATCTAGTGTATTCTGATTCCTGACCTAGTCGAAAGAGAAGAGAAATGAAACTGAGCGGAGACAATGGGTGGCGCCAGCTTGGCTAGCAGATTGCATTATCAATAGAAATTAAATTCTGAGTAAACTAATGATGAGGGAACACCATCTTAAAAGCCCAGAAGTAAATTTTACAAAATAGCCTATGCATCACTTAAGAGCCAGATTAACTTAATTCCTGAAAATCTGTATGATTTCTATATTTTGTCAACCGTCTTTTGTGCCATTTTCTAGTGAGCAGCAGAAAAAAACAGCCTCCTCAGCCTCTTTTCTTTTTGGTACGACTGTTGTGGTGTCTCTGGGTTAAGATGGCCTATTCCAGTCACATCTTACCTTCCAAATCTACGCCTGACTTGCTTTGATCCCTGCGTTTCAGCCATATTTGTAGTTTTTGATTCTCAGTAACTCAAAACCCATAACGTGAGCATTTTGCATGTACTGGATGAGAAATAACCTTTTTGTTTTCATTGGAATGGATATGACAAAATCCAGTTCAAGTATAACAAGAGCAAAACATGTGTGTAGCCGAACACATAAAAAGATGTTTCTTGCTCCAGTGACATGCGACAGTGCAGCTAGTTTGAATAATATTTATATCTGGACTTTATTATCTGCCTGTGATGTTATTCATTTTCCCTCTGTGAAAGGTCCAGCTGGACGCCGTGCAGTCCTGACTCTGGTACAGTATTTCCAGACTTTCTCACATACTTCATTTGTAGAGGCCTATGCTAAATATGGATCGTATATATGAATAGGAGAAAACCTAAACACAATGATACAGTACGCGGCACATACTATAAATCTGAGTGTTTAAATGTATTGCTCTAACCAAACAGGAAATGACAAACACTGTGGATTCAGGGTCTGTTCAAATGAGTGGCCCTTACAGTTGCATATAAACAGTATTCCGAAAGACAAACAAAGTCTTGACAAGAGAAAGAGGAAGGAAAACGCAGAGATAAGGAATGGGCTTGAGTGCTCAGAGACACAATGTCATAGCTCAAAAGACTGAAATTCCTTTAATCTTCCGGTCGCTCTGGAGACACTGATGTGCAAGATTTTTCTTTTGGGTGGAGTGTCTCGAGGGCTTCATACCACATGATATGAAAAGGCTCCTTCCAGTCCAGCTTCACAAGGTCACTTCAAGGTTCAGTTACTTTAATAAACATGGACGCGTGTTTATTAAGCTTTTTTGAATGTCTTAACCATAGATTGTATAAAGAAGTGGATTAAAGGAGTGTGACGTCACCCATAGTGTTTGGCTCCAGTCAAATGAAGGTCACAAGGCTGGCACTTATAGAAGCGAAATTGGAGTTTTCATATTAGAAATAGGAATTTATTTACGGACAAAATAGGGAAATCAAAACACCAAGATTGTGTGGGTTAATGCGAATATTTTAAGGTCAAATTTTGAGATAAAGCTCACTGCAGTAGTTATAGAGAGAGGTGTGACAATTTTTCAATGTAAAGTCAATTGGAGCCAGAGTCGATGGAGCCAGAAGTGTCCCCTTGCTCACTTCCTATTTGGAATGCTGGGGTGAAATGGCAAGAGGACGGTTAATGGTGGAAAGAGCATTTCATTCACACATTTTTAACGCACAAATCCTGCAT